TCCATTTCCTTTACCTATTCCTTCCTCCACTCATCAAATTGTGTGATGCTATGATTAACCTACTCCCACCCCCACCACCCACCCATCCTCATGCTTCTGCTCCCCCCCCCTTGGATCCTCCTACATTCTACAATAATGGTCTTATACAATATTTGTCCTTATGAAACTGAGTTAGTTCACTGAGCATAATGCTCTCATTGCTCCAGTATGCTGTATTCCTACATGCAAATGCATCATTACATTTGAACTATTTCCATATTCTCAAGATGGTGAACAACATCATTAGGAACATTGGCATACAATCTCTGTTTATGCCTTAGTTCTCATTTTCTTGGGATATATTCCAAGCAGTGGAATAACTGTGAGATATGTAATTTCTATGTCCAACTTTTTAGGGAAATGCCAAACTGCCTTCCAGAGTGGTTTTACAATCCCGTTATCGATGTATAAGAGTTCTTATTTTGCCACATCCTCTCTAACATTTATTACTTGCTGTCCTGTTAAACTTTTCCATTGTTACTCATGAGATGGTATCTCATTTTCCATTGTTACTGGTGAGATGGTATCTCATTGTGGTTTTGATTTGCATCTCCTTTCTTGCCAGTGATTTTGAGCATGTCTTGATGTGTCTGTTGGCCATCTGAATATCTCCCCCTGTAAAAAGTTTTTCCGTGCTTTTTGCCCACTTTGTAATTGTGTTATCAGCCTTTTTCTTGTGGAGGCCCTGTAGGATTCTATACAATTTTGTTATGATATTCTTGTCTGAGATGGTGTTGCCAAATGTTTGTTCCCAGGCCATAGGTTTTCTTTTCACCTTGTTGGAAATAATTTTAATGCATACAGAGGTTTAATCCTTGGAAGATCCCATTCATCAAATTTATGCTCTTCAGATAGTGCATTTTTGGTTGTATTTTGCAGTCTCTTTAGGCTGTCTAAACTTGATACCAGTTTGTCTCTGGTGAGCTTTATGGTTTGGGGCTTTACTCCCAGGTCCCTAATGCACCTTGAGTTGATTTTTGCCTATGGCATGAGATGTGGATCCTGTTTCAGCTTTCTGCAGGTAGCAGTCCAGTTTTACTAGGACCATTTTTTTGGTCATTTCCCCATTTGATAAGTTTTATTTCCTTGTCGAATATCAGTTTATCATAGATAACTGGATCCTTTAGTGGGTTCTGCATTCCATCCCATTGGTCTGTATGCCTGTCATTGTACTAGCACCATGCTATTTTGGTTACTACTACTGTGTAGTAAATTTTGAGGTAGGGAGTGCTTTCCAGTGTTTTTCAGAAGTGTTTTGTTTATTCAGAGTCTCTTTCCTTTCCAAATAAACTTGACAATTTCCCTTTTGTTCTCCTTGAAAAGCGAATTTGGTATTGTGATTGCATTGAACATGTAGACTGCTTTTGGTAGGATTGTCATTTTCACAATATTGAGTCTTCCTCTCCAAATTATTGAGGAGTAATGATGTCAGTTTGAGGACTAAGGTCTGTCTTATTCAGGTCATAATCTTTCTGATTACTTGCCATACATCTGAGAGCTGGACAATTAACAAGGATGACAGGAAAAGAACTGATGTCTTTGAGCTGTGGTATTGGAGAAGAACACTGAACATCTCTTGGACAGCCAGAAGAATGAACAGATATGCCTTGGAGAGTGGACAGTCAGAGTGCTCTTTGGAGGCCAGAATGATGAGGTTTGGGCATGTTTCTAGGAGGGGCTATTCTTGGAGAAGGGCATGATGCTGGAAAGGGTAGATTGTCAGCAAAGAAAAAAAGACCCTCAGCCAGGTGGATTGACAAGGTGACTGCTACAGTGGGCTCTTGTGTGTCAGGAAGTGTGAGGATGGCACAAGATATAACAGGGTTCAGAATTTTCATTCATAGGGTCCCTTTGAGTTATACTTGACTCAACAACACCTAACAACAACAAAATCTATGAACAGTACACATTTCCCCTTTTATTTAGGCCTTTTATTGCATCTCACAGAAATGTTCTGTAGTTTTCTTTGTAGAGGTCCTTTGTGTTTCAATTAGGTTCACTTCCAAGTGTCTCAATTTATGGTTGGCTATTGTGAATGGTATTGCTTTCTTGGTTTTCTTCTCTGAATTCTCTTTGTTACTGTAGAGGAATCCCACTAAGTTTTAGATATTAATCTTTTATCCTGCCACTTTGCTAAATTGGTTTACTAGCTCTAAACACTTTGGGGTTTTGTTGTTGTTGAGTCTTTGGGGTTTTTGTGTACACTACCATACCATCTGCATCTAGTGATAGTTTGGCCATTTCTTTGCTGGTCTAGATGCCTTTTATTTCCTCTCTTGTTGTATTACGCTAGCAAGTACTTCCAATACAATAGTGAATAGAAGTGGTAACAGTGGGCATCCTTATCTGGAAAATTAAGTTCTGAATTATTTTAGTTACAAAGGTAAGCTTTTGGTAAGAATTGATTATATGCCACATTCCAAAAAGTATATTATTCCTTCTTTTCATTTTTGTAATGCTCTTAGATGAGCTAAGAATAAGAAGAGTTTTCAACTGTTATTGCTTTCATAAAAAATTAAAGAAATTAATTTTTACTAAAATCAATCATTACTATATCTAGTTAGTTTACTAGGTTTAGTGTAACTTTTAGAGAACACATTGATTACCCATAATAACCCTTTTTTACACTTCTTCAACTTCATTAAACTAAAATTAGAAATGATATCAATTCTTTGAAAAATGGAAGACATGCACATAATAATAAGTATGGATATAAAATATATTTAGAACTTCATATGAATACATTATTACATCTTCTCTCATTAAGAATTAGAGTTTAAAAAAATTAAAATATTAAAAATACAAAATAAATAAATAAAAGAATTAGAATCCATTTTCTTCATCACTCACATTCCATTTGTCAAAATTTCTCACTGATGAATTAACTCAAAGGCAATGAGGTGTTAAAAAATCTTACTGGATTTTAAGTGACAATTATAGAGGGAATTAATTTGCATTTAATCACTGATAGGTTTATTACCTTTTGGCATTGATTTTAATCTCTTAAAATGTATCCATATTCTCCCCGTGTTCAAACTGGTGCCCCAGAGCAATATCTGAATGACTTCCTTTCTAGTCTCTTGGTCTCAGTTATTTATTTTAAATATTAGTTACTTTTTCTCATTAATTTGGATGACAGCAAGTTTTCTAAAGGATCCAAGAGGGGGTAGGAGGGGGTGGAAGCAGAGGGATGAGGCTGTGCAGGGGGAGGAGGGATTAATCATGGGGTTGTACAATTTGTTGAGTGAGGGGATGAGGGAAATTGAATTTGTTCTTGAAAACAATGTATTCAAATTTTGTAAATAAACTAGTAGAAAATTAAAAAATAAAGATGAGAATTCTTTCAACTTCTATTTAGATAAATAATGAGAGAAATTACATTATGAGATTAGGTTTCATTTTAGGAGAAAAGTACCTATGCTCTAATTCAAACTCTAGGAATTCCCAATTAGATGAATTCTAGCTTGAAGAAATTATTTTGTTGTAAATGTTGCATCAACAAAGATAAGCATTTTTATATAATTTGTTGACTAAATAATTCGTTGTAGAAATTTATTTCTTATGTGTTGCTTTAGGATTAGCAATAGTATGTGCAGAGCAGACACACCTGACTATTCTAGCTGTAGGTAATTGTTGATCCCAGAGTTTTCTCATGGCGTTTTTTATTTCAGAATTTCTCAATGTGTATATTAGAGGGTTCAGCAAGGGAGTAATAATTGTATAAAGCACAGCCACAGATTTGTCAATGGGAAAATTGGAAACGGGTCTAGCATACATGAAAATACAGGGCAAGAAAAAGAGGACAACCACAGTGATGTGAGAGCTGCAAGTGGACAGAGCTTTACGTCTCCCTTCTTGGCTGTGGGTCTTCAGGGAGTTTAGGATGACACCATATGAAATTAATAGGAGGATAAATATGACAATACAAATAGCCCCACCATTGGCAATCATCGTCAGTCCTATAAGATAAGTGTCAATGCACGCAAGTTCCAGTAATGGGTACATGTCACACATGAAGTGATCGATGACGTTTGGGCCACAGTAGGGGAGATCGTACACAAAGAGAAGTTGCACCACAGAGTGCAAAAACCCTCCAACCATGGCCACCAACAGCAGCAGAATGCACACCTTTTGATTTATGATGGTCAAGTAGTGCAGTGGTTTACAGATGGCCACGTAACGATCGTAGGCCATTGCTACTAGGAGAAAGATTTCAGAGCCCCCAAGAAAGTGTTCTACAAAGAGCTGGCCCATGCAAGCAGAGAAGGAAATAATCTTTTTTTCACAGAGTAAGTCTGCAATCATTTTGGGAGAAATAGAATTGGCATAAACAGCATCCAAGAAGGAAAGAGAGGCAAGGAAAAAGTACATGGGAGAACGTAGGGAAGGGCTGATAATAATAGTCAGGAAAACAAGTAGATTGCTAAGCACTGTTCCAATGTAGATGAATAAAAACATGACAAACAACACTTTTTGTCCCTCAGGACCTTGAGTGAGTCCAAGGAGCACAAATTCTGTTACATTGTTGTTCTGCCCCATTTACTCTTCTAAAAATCTTGTATTTCAGAGATGAACATTGAAGGGAACAAAACCTGTAAAAAGATCATGAATACTATTATAAATATGCCCATGGTAGCCTGGAGCACATCTTCACTTTGTATTTACTCGTTTTTCTTTTCCAAGTGTATAAATAATACCTTCCATTGACAACGCTGTATTTTCTCCATGACTTTAACTGAGCCTACTCTTTAAAGTCAGTTTGTCTCAGTAGGTCCTGTCACAGAAGTTAGCAATGACAAAGACAGAAATAATTTTGGTCCTTAAAAAACTTATTTTCTGCTGGTGGATATAAACAATGAATAAATACTGTCATACAATCATTGTTTTGATTGGTAATTTCTTGGACTGTATCTTTACAATATGATTGATTCACCTCACAGAGGACCTTTTCCTCATGCGCTGTGTAAAGTATGTCAGACGAAGCCTCAAAATCCTTGCCTCCAATCCTTGACATTGAGCCTCAATCCATATTGTCATATTAATCCATTGATTAATATTGATTATGAATCTATTGATCATATTAATCAATTGATCCATATTAATCACGATGGCTTATGTCTTAGATTTTAAAAACTCAGTAAAATTGTAAAGACAGTAAAAATAGGGAGCTTTGGTGGTCTAGTGGTAAGAAGTTATAATGCCAACCCAAAGACAGGTGGTTCAGGTCCATAGATGCTCCATGGAAGATGGACAATCTTTTCCCATGCAGTTTACAACTTCTGAAAACCCACCAGAGAATCAACTGTGAGTCACTTCTGATTCCGCTGCAATGACTTTGAGTTTAATCTTGATAAAGTAAAAGTATCACAATTAGATCAGAAAAACATGCATGGGGAGTGTAGAAAATATTGAAGTTGTCAAGGAGTGAATTTTTACGTAGATCCACATTCAATATGTATGGTAATCACTGTCAAGAAATAGAAGTACAATGGGAAAATCTGCTATCAAGGACCTCTTTAAATGCTAAAGAGCAATGGTTTCATTTTCAAGAATAAGGTGCAAGTAATCCAAGCCATGGTTCAAGTCAGCTTTGTGTAGTTCTGACACAATGGTACATGAGAACAACAATCCAAACCATGGAATCAAGTACAGGATTTATATGCATGTGAAAATTGGACAACAAATAAAAAAAGATCAAAGAAGGATTGAGGCTTTCAAATTAAGGAGCTGGAAAAGAATAATGGAAGCAGGAGTGGCATCCAATTCCTAAACAACATGGCTCTGGAAACTCTATGAACTTTGATAAATGGCAATGGTTACAGAAAGGCTTCAGGCCTTTTGTTCCCAGGGTCGCTATGACTCATGCTTGAGTTGACAGCAATCATCATCAACAATGACAACAGAGAATGATGAATACTATGGACTGCTAAGAAAGAAATAAATCTGTTTTGGAAGAAATGCAGCCAGACTGATACTTAGATGGTAAGACTTGTCTCACTGACTTTGAACATATGCTATGGAGGAATTAATCTCTGGAGAAATCTATCATGCTTGGAAAAATAAAAGATTTAAAAAAAAAAAAGACCTTAAGTGAAATTGACTCAATTTCACTGAATGATTAATGAACTGAAGCACAAGACATCGTGAGGATGGCACGGGACCGGCCAGCATTGCACATGTCTTTCATTTCATTTAAAACCTACTTCAAAGCACCTCACAACAGTACCTTTTCAGTAGGATCTGGATGTTTTAGAAAATATTTTTCTCTGAAGTAACTGGCTAATGATAACAACTAATAAATATGTTACTGTGTTATTGTGTGCTGTTGAGTCAAAACCTGCCCGTAGCTGAATTTTTATCAAATTTTCAGAGGCTGTGAATCACACAGGAAAGATATTGTCCTTTTTATCCTTCAGAACACTGGTAAATTAGTCCAGTTCCTTTCTCATTAGTACCCAATACTTTTCTATTTGTTTCCAAAATTTCTTGAGATGAGCTGAGTAGTGAAGAGAGATAAAGTAGAAGCTGTAAAGCCAGGTGCAGGACAAGGGAACAGTTTCTAGAACACAGACTCTACTCACAATTAATAACAAGATACGGAAAAAGGAGAATTACTTAAGGGGAAAGTCCAAATAGCAAAAACCTTAGGAGTTTTAATGATTTTTTAAATTTAGTCACAACCCTGTCTCTGTCTTTTAATTAAAATGAAAAGGATTAATCTTTATATGATCTCAGTAAACTTCCCAGATCAACTGTCAATGCTCTCACTGAAACCCCAGCTTGTTCTGTTCTGGTTGATATTTCTGTTTGTATTTTCATAATTACACATGAATTCCTAAATTTATTACTGTCATTTTATAAAAGCTAGACACTGATGAGACTTAATTATCACATAGATCAAATATAGATTACAATTTCTCGTTCAGCGTGCACCTATTTATGACCTAGAGAAACCTTGGAGACAGAGCACAGCATAGTGATGAAGAATGCATAATGTGGAATAACACAGTCTGTGTATTCCAGCACCATCCCTTTCAATGTATGCAAACTCGGGCAACTTAGTGAATCTTTTTGTTCGTTAACTTTCACAGTTTTAAAAATGTAGATCATAACAGTACTGACCTCGTAAGGGTTTTGTGCCCCTGCATTTTTAACATATAAAGTGCATAGAATGCTGCATGATGCCTGACAAAATTATCAATACATGGTAGATATCATTATTTTTAATACTTTAATATGAGCATGGAGTCAGAAAGTATTTGGATCTTTGAAAGTTCATAAGCATAAAAGCCGACTTCATTTGCCTTTATTTGATTGTGAGGGCAGTGGACACGGACTGAATTTTAAGATTTCTAAAGAAATTAAGGGTAATGAGCTTTCTATATGCCCAGCTGAGTCAGAAGTTGAACCATTTTGGAAGCTGTAGATTCACAAATGCACACTTACCCAAAAATATAAAGATATATGATATTCTACATCTGAGTATTTCATTTCTGCTAGTGATTTTAATCTTATTAACAATAGATTGATTTCACTGGAATAAATCTTCTATTAATCCATGAAATATTTTATAAATAAAAAATTAGATATGAAAACTATTCACTATAATTATAGTCATTAAACATTTGATATTATACCTACCGATAGAGATTATTAAGTTTTTTCAACTACTGTGTTAACGTATTTCTAGGAAAAATCATTTAAGCTATATTTATAAACACATGACTTAAAAAATTAATATTAAAATGCCATGGTAAAAAATATCTTCTATTGTGCATGGCAGTGACTATTATGTCTCTCCTAGAGACGGTAGGCAAGGTCTTTCCTGATGACTAATTCCTTTTTAAATACATGTTCATGTGGTTGTTGTAGTAATTTTAAAATAGTTACACATAAAAGCACATATGAAGCTTCCAGTCATAACCATAGTTTGTTTTTCATATTATGAAATACTTAATATGACATGTAGTGTTAAATTATGTATTTTAAGTAAATCCAAATGAATTATAAATCTTTGTTAATACATCACATAACCTATTATGCCAGAAAATAATATCTTACTTATTTGTAATGTACAATACTTTATTTTGTTATTTGGACAATGAACAATAAACATGTGGAAGGAAAAATAATGCCAAAGACATGCATATTCTGCTTAATTTCTGGTTTTCTGTCTTAATTTTGCAATTTCAGAATTATTCCAGTGAACTAATTTCTTGCAATTTTTTTTGTTTACTTGAGATTTTTAAAAACATGTGATTTGAGTAAAAGTATACAAAGCATATTTTTTGTCAAACATTCTTGCATACTTAATTCTATATCATCAAATACATTCTACACAGTGTCTGATCTTTCGTTTTTCCACATTGTACTACTCTTGCACGTCATGTAAATTGTTAATGAGTTTCCCTTGTTAGTTGTTTAAAAAACTTACTTCCTGGCTTTTCCCTTGGTGCTCTTTTTGTTAACAGTATCGGTGAACACCGATTGCATCTGTCTGCTGCATCTATGGCAGAACAACTGATAATGATCTAGTGGGAAGTGACTACACTTTTAATCTGTGCACAGGCTTCCTATCATCTCAGCTTTGTTTTTCTTTATTTTTTCCTCAAATAAATCTATCTAAAGTGGACACCTACAATCTAAAGATACTTAAAATAATGTCACTGGTTATGGTACAAAGACAGCAAACAAATTTAATAATTGTATCTATTGGAACATGGTAAAAGACAAATTACGATGATACGACTATGTTGTTGTTGTTATGTGTCATCAGGTTGCCCGAGACGCAGAGCGACTCTAAGTACAATAACACTGAACCCTGCCCGATCCTGAGCCAGTGTCACTGACTCTGACACTAACCCAATAACCAATTTAGAAAATTAATATAAATTAACTTGAACATACCTTGGTTTTAGAAATATGAACAGCAACCAAAAAATGAGAAAATAAATCACTGAAATTAGTTATTTTTGAAATAGTCTCCTTTTAGTCATTTATGATGTAGCAGTCAGAAGTCCTTTAAATTGGTTGTGGAGACAGAGTGAAACTCATGTCCCTACTCATTAAATTATGTACCTAATAAGATAAACGTGGATAATTGACTTCTCTGATAAGCCAATGACAGAACTTTCTTAGATATAGCAATAGAACTTCTCAGTTGTTCAAACAGTAAATACAAACACCTTTTTTCCTCATCAAAAAAGCCAGCCTAGTTCACTCCACATCTTACAAAAATGCCTACAAGCAATGGAGGATATATATTAGCAGGAAATATGACCAGAAAAACATTTTCATTATGATGATACCAATTAAAAAGTCATCTACCCAGACAAGTGTTTGACTCTGCAGAAATCTCTTGGGTCATTCTGTTGGAAATAATTCTTCCATTATATGAGCAAAGGTAGTCTATGGATTTTATATCACCATTTTAAATAGAAGATAATTCAAGTTCATTATAACTTAGTTTGTCATAATGTTGGACCAAATTCAAATAAAATAATTTCATGAACAGTTTTCTTTACTAGTTAATCCCAAGA